TATAATGTTTGAAAGTATAATATCAAAGTATATGGGACAAAAGTGTGAATTGGAACAAAATTATTAACCACAAGTGTGAATATGTCGCAAATACTGGCGCACAATGTGTTTCAAACAAAGGTAAAAAGAAAGTGTATGAACTTTCCAAGTCAAAATTTTTAATGAAATGCATTTATTTTTATTTGTCAAAAGGTTTGTACTGTTTGTGTCCTGTTAAAATTTCCATAAGTTATTCATAGACAAATCTGAACCATCCATGTTCTATTGCTTTTTGGCCATTTGCATTGTTTAAGTTATTGCGTATTTTGTATAAAAGTAAAATACAACATGTTCTTTGTTACAATTTGATACTGTTATGACAAAAATATCACATTCAACTCTACGGTTAATCAGTGGATAAACATCTACTATACTTTCAAACCATTTCTTGTACGTTATAAATTACATGTTTGTCTTTCCTAAATAAGAGAAAGAAATGTTCGTTTCTGAGTTATAATAATTATGCTTAAAAAGCAAAGTCAGTATGACGTTGTGAGTCTTTAACCACATTTTTGTAAGTTTTAGAGCAAAAGCTCAAAGTATATAAAAAGGAAAAAGCGATTCGATAAATCAAACTTCTAGGTGTGACATAGTTTTGTTGGAATTCAGAAGCAGACTTCCCTCCTATGAGGGTCATACAAGACCTTTTCTTTATATATATAACATCCAAGTATATGAAAAAATACTGTAAATTAGGACGAAATTTTTAACCAGAAGTGCAAATCCTGATGCCCAATGTAGTGTTTACCTTTTCAAAAACCGACGTCAATAAATTTTTTGGATCTGTTTGACCCTTAATTAAAATATTTATTATTATTCATATGTATTAAGTATGATAAGTTTACACCTATTGTTAAAATATTTAAGGTTATATTGACCGTTTCAGTATGACATTTTTGTCGTGCTCTCAATAAAAGGAGAGAAAAAAGTTAAAAGTGTGCCATGATGGCCCGAATTGCTCACAACCTGAGATACATCGCTCGAAAAGGTGACATTTTTTCAATGATAAAGTCAGTAATGATGTCGCATTTAGTTTGTCATCTTTCACCCAAACTGCAGCATTTAAAAATATTTCTAGACATATGCTACGAGATGCCTATTGAACGAATATCTCGGCTCTTTGCATTGAAGTTTCACAAAAGAAGACTAACCTGTATTTCCCATATAAGCCTATGTAAACTATTGATCCCAAGGGCAACGCCAATTCTGACTATATGGTCATGTTTTATTTTACTTTTTAGAGGACCACAGGGTAGTTCTGGGCATTTTACTTTCAGAGAACGAAATGTATATTTTATAAGATATTTTCACTGTACAAGAAGTCAGTTGACATCAGTGACGTTATTAACATTTACAGGTGTAGGATAACTAGATAATGCGGCATATTCAAATATTCTAGATATTGCTGCTTCCTAGGAGAATATATTTTTCTCAATAAAAATATTTTTCGAAAAAGATTTAAATGCATTTTCCTAGAGGAGAGGATGATCCCATATACAAGTTTAAATAAACTGTATCATCCTAATGACGGTATGATGTATGAATGATATAGCGGATCAGAAGGTTATGCTGCATGTCTTTGTAAAGCTTTGGAAATACGATTTGATAACAAGGTTTATTTCTATACTTCACAACAGCAGGTGTCAAGTGCTGTGTGGCAGCTGTAAAAAGTTGCCCCATACTTCAGTGTTGTTGTATTTTTCTGGTCCTTCGGGATCATTGATGCCAGCACTATTAGGAGTTGAGAATTGAGTACCGCTCGTACAGACTCAATCAAACCGTGTCTGCAATTCTCTTGTAATTTTGTTGTGATTAATTTTTCCGAGGGATCACTTTGTTTCCAGATTTTTATGTAAATCAATTACCCAAAAGACAGTTTCGTTTTACACCCCTAGAGGCTTGATAAATTTTACGTTTTTAGATGTTCAAAAGATGATTTTACATGCAAAATGTATCCGCTCTAGTCGTTGTACATTCAGAGAAAAATATTTTTAAGACATTTTACTATACAAGTGTTTGTAAACTTAGTGACCCCCAGAGTTGGTCTATTTTTTGACCTAATGGGCAGGACTTATAACTCTTTAAAGAGATTCACTTTGTACAATTTTATAGGGTCCACTAGGTAATGCATGTCAAATAAGTTCCTGGGATTGTTGTTTCACAAGACAAGTTTGTTGATTTCCAAAATACTTTTTCACCGTGTATTGAAAGAAATATTTTAGTCTTAACTAAAAAAGCGTAACATTTTGACGTATAATTATGTGTTTTTCCTTATGATATTAGCAATATTCATCATCTCTAGCTGTAAAATGCACATACCTAGAAAGGAAAACTATCTCTCAGGCCACAAATAGCCATGATTTCCTAATTTCAGTATATTTTGATGCATACATACAATAAGCAAGATAAAAAGCTTTGAGACGTATTTATGTGCAAAATTTATGGTTTATATACATTATTAGTCCCCTACCGGTTCACCGGAGGGGACTTTAGGTTTACCCTCCGTCCGTCTGCCCGAGCAAACATTTTGGGTTTAGGGGCTATATAACAGTAAAGAGAACAAAAGAGAACAATAGGTTCATTCCGTGATCAAAGGAAAGGGTTCATGGGCTAGTAGCCCTTAAGAAAACAAAGAAAATAACAAAGAAAATAGCCCGTTGGAACGTCCGTCCGTCAGTCCACAAAACTGGATCCAGTGATAACGCAAAAAGTACTGAAAATATTTTTATAAAACTTGATATATGGATAGATGGCAGCATGGAAATTACGCATGTCTTTTTCTGTTCTTCGTATGTTGAAAATTCTGGTTGCTATGGCAACAAATAGACTGAAAATATGGCAAATTTTACACATAACCTGGATCCAGTGATAACGCAAAAAGTACTGAAAATATTTTTATGAAACTTAAAATAAGAGTAAATGGCAGTCTGGAGATTATGCATATCCTTTTCTTTTCTTCATATGTTGAAAATTCTGCAACAAATAGACTGAATTTCAAGATTTCTGATTCTTGTTTTTACGTTTTTTGACTATAAGTTCTTAATTTCTTAAGGTATTTTCTTCAAACTTTAGATGTAAGTTTCTAGTCATCAACCTTACCATATCATATTTGACAAGGTTCACAACTCTAGCACAAAATTTATTAGAATTTCCTCCCTTGAACTTAGAATTTTCATGAAAAAATATATTTTTTTTAACTTTCTTTTACTTCAAATTCAAAATAAACATTCATTATCAACACCTTCATTACTAATTGTTCTTTGTTACACTCACATCCTGTATGACGTCTTGCATCTTTATTTCAAGAGTTATCTCCTTTTTAAGAATTTTGCTTTTAAAAAGGTTATATTTTGATAACAGGGATATTTAAAAAAAATAACTTTAGAGTGTCCTTCAGTCCGTCTGTACATAAAACTGTTTCCTGTGATCACTTTTATAGAACTTTTTCAACAAATTTACTTAAAATAGAGACATAAATAGCCAATGGCCCTTCAGAATGTTGCTGGGGTTCTCACCGGTAGGGGACTTATAGATTGCTTGCAATACTATGATAATTGCTTGTTATGAATCATAATGTCATTTTCTCTAGAACACGATTGGTAATTTCCGCCGCCATTGTTGCTGATAAAGTACTAATACCCATTACTTACTGTGTTGACCTATATGTTAATTGTTCATGTGTAAACATTTACATAAAGTTCATCATAATATCGAAGTGTTAGCTTCTTTTGTTATTGAGCGTGCTTTGGAAGTTTTTGTCGTAAACGATGATTATGTAAATACATTCAACATGAACAAGATTTTCTAACAACTATGCCGCTTTTAAACACAAATTGCCTAATAATACCAAAAGAACGTATTGTAAACATAAACTTTTTTCAAGTCATCATGTATTTCTCTGAGCATTTTTACATCCGCTAAGTTATATCCAACGATAGCTAGGTTACTTTTAAACTCGTTTCAAACGTAAGCATCTTTAAAGTATAGATACAGCATGTAGAAAACTTTGTTATGTAGTCTGATATTTGAGCTAATCAATAATAAATGTGGTTAAGATGTGTATCCGTTCATGCTCTATAATTATAATTGTACTACTACAACTACGCCATATGTTTGTTTACCCACTTTGGTCACGTCCAGTGGTTGTCGTGACAGAAATAGTTTCATTTCTTATTTAGCGTTAACTTTGAGCAAAAAATGGTTAAAAGTAACCAGATTCTGATTAATTCTGTATCACGGTAGATACAGCTTACATTTAACATTGCCAGGTATGATTAGGCTTAATCAAACCGAGTCTGGAGTATGATATATTATGTCGTGTTGAAGTACTTTCAAGTGATACTACATTTCATTATTTTACGGTAAAAATATTTCTGGAACACGCAAAATTTTGAAAATAAAATGCCAGTAATTAATATTGGTGCAAAACAACATATCATACCTAGTTACGAACATGGAAATATTTTGGAAATTAAGGAACAAAGCATTGTTTAAGGTATTATATTTATTTTAATCATTTATTTGTTTAAATTATATTAACTTTGAAAAGCAAAATATACGCAAATGATATCCACATCAGAAGCGAAAATTATGATCAGTATCATATAAATTAATCCAATGATATTCCTGGTAAAAAAGAGAAAACTCCTCTAACAAACTGCTTTTCATTTGGTTTTAAGTTTTTTCTTTCATTTCGCCTTAAATGTAATAACAATTTATCACTATCTTTCAATGCAACATATCAGCGCAGTTTTTATTATTTAAATGTTATAAGAGGGACCTGAGAAAGAAATAACGTGTCAATAAAGGTTTTAGATTATATAATGATATTGATAATATTTTTCAATGCAACAAACAAGACAGTTCGTAATAAGTAGCCACATGGAAAGTCACTTTTGTGTCAATAAAAGAATAGATTTAAAATGAAATTGATAATGTGTTGATTTTCATTTCAATTTAAGAGATGTCGTCATACAGTGTTCAGACTGAAAATCTCATTGAAGAGTTGGGTGGTTGCGGCAATCTGCAAGTTTTGCTTTGTTTATGTATACACAGTTCAAACACGATAATATTTTGGAGCTTACTAGCAATGTCTTTCATTGGTTATACCCCTGATTTCTCGTGTAAAGTACTTGACGTCTCACAGACATCTTTATCTACACTAAATCTGAGCAATGTTTCTCCTGATCACCTATGTTTTGCAGGACCGAACACAACGTGTAGTTCCTACATTTTTCAGCAATCTGCGAATACTATTGTAACAGAGGTACCTGAATATAAATATCTTTTTTTTTGAACATATACAATAGATATAATACAAGTAAGTTTACAAACTCGAAGGTATTTCTAAATTCATGTTTCTTTCTTAAAGTTGACTTGATAATGTTAAGATACCTAATTATTTAAATACGAAACATTTTCCTTGGTTGTATTAAATACGTATCAAAATAACAATTTTATGTTCTATATTTTTATTAATAGTGGAGCCTAATTTGTGACAGGCGCTGGATTGTGGCATTTATAACAACATTACAAATGGTAGGTCTAGTTGTCGGATCAATAATTGCAGGACAGGTGGCCGACTTTCTTGGACGGAAAACAACAATTATCTCAGGAATCGCTTTTGTGACTATTTTCAATTTTATTGGACTTTTCACTCCGTCATGGAAAATTTATGCAGCTATTCGTTTTTTCATCGGTACAGGAGTAGGACTCTCGCATACTACTCAGTATACATATATGATTGAATTCGTAACCTCGAAATGGCGACCACTAGTAGTTTGTTTCCCTTCATCAGCAATTGCAGGAATGTTATTGGCTCCTGTTTCCTGGTGGTTACATGACTGGAGGAGTTTACATCTTTTAAAGACGATAGTTGGTGTATTATTTTTCATAATGATTTGGTAATGTATTGTTTGCTTAACATTTCTTTTCGTAACGAATATCTAATTCATCTCAATATTTCAAAATGTATCTCTGAAATTTGTCAGAAAAACACAAGCCAGTTAAAATTGCAAATCACTCGAAAGCAATATTATAACAAGTTAAGATTCTATGTTGTAATATCTAGTTTCAATCAAGGATAGAAATTCTTTTAATAATCGTTTAATAATGCGTTTTCTTTTAAAAGTTAAAATCACGATATTATTATTTTTACAGGTTCTTCCCAGAAAGCTTTAGATGGCTAGGTGCTAAGATGAAATTTAAGCGAGCGAAAAAATCAATCAAATTCATTGCAACAGTAAACAGAAGAAAATATCCCGACCTAGAAGAACTATTTAATAGAGCAAAAGTAGAAGCAGTTTCAAATATCACAATGAGTTCTAATTTCACAAACTTACTGACTTCAAAAGAGTTGCGAAATGTGACACTCCCTTTAAGTATAGTATGGTAGGTAATTCATGTTGAGAGCTTTTCATAATGCAAACATATTGTTCATATAAAATGAAGTTTTATTACATGCTTTTCGGTGGTTTATAGAAATATATCAGTGATATAAAACTGGTAATTTCAGTTTGAAACAATGAAATTACCACTGTTTGAAACAATGAAATTACCACTGATAATTTCAATGTTTTGAATTTAAGCCCCTTACGTTGTTTCAGTGATATACCTGCGTGCACAGTACTGGGTACCAACTTAATGACGTGACGTCGTAAATGACGTCACGTTGTATTATTATTTTGCGCGCTTTTCATTCAGTATTAGATTTAATGTCTTTTTAAAACGTTTATTTGCATATAATAAAAAGAAAATTTGTTTAGTTTAGTGTAAGATCGAAATATATTTCACGTTGTGCGCCACTCGTGAAATATACCTTTTGGTGCTCACTCGGTGAAATATATTCCGATCTTACACTGAACTAAACAAATATCCTCTATATATTAGTTTCTGGTATGCAAATATAATAATTCTTTTAATTATTTATCACACTGTACACTTTTAAAAATTAACAACTGTAGTTAACGAGTAGTAAGATGAGTTTATTACATGCTTTTCGGTGGTTTATAGAATTATTTCAGTAAAATTTAAAACTGATATTTCATTGTTTGAAACAGTGGAATTATCAATTTGATATTTTTCACTGTTTTTGGAATTAAGCCCGTTACGGTGCGTCAGAAACACCAGCGTGCATAGTACTGGAAACCAATTAAATGGCGTCGTGTTATAATTTGGTGCGATGTTCATTTAGTATTAGATTTAAATGTCTTTTTAAACGTTTCTTTGCAATAATAAAGAGAAAATTTGTGTAGTTTAGTGTAAGATCGAAATATATTTCACCACTTGAACACAAAAAGTTCGTATTTGTGCGCCACTCGTGAAATATACCTTTTGGTGCTCACTCGGTGAAATACATTACGATCTTAGTCGCAAGCGTTGTAATCTCCCGTCTGGGGGACATCGTTGTTTCCTGCAGCAGGAAACGTTACACACAGAGTTAAGTTGTAGTTGGTTTCAGTAAGATTCGAAAGTGTATCAAAAAGGGCAAATTGTAACACAATACATTTAAGTAGTATGAAATTGATTCTGTCGTCTATATTGTATGACGTACCTAAAAATAGAAAATATATGCATCTGTTAGATTTCTTTTTACCAAAAACACTACTTTATAGGTTCTCTGTGTGCCTTTCCTGGTACTGTATATCACTTGGAATGGAGGCTGTTTCTGTTAACGTGTATCTGACCATATTACTCATGAACTTTGTTGACTTCCCCGCAGATTTGATAACTGCTGTTTTCATTAGCAGGTATCAGTGTTTATAAAATACATTTATATTATAGAGTTCATTAAACCTGAGATTGAAATTACTATTGTAACGGTAACAACAATGGGTATTATTATTAAATTGCACCTTGTGGTAATCAGCATGTAAATATCAAAGTGCGTGCTTTGTATAATGATTTTATTACCTCACCAGTACCGAAGGTTCAGGGTGAGCTATTAGTATCAAAGGGGGATGCTCCGGCGTCTGTCGTCATGCGTCAACAATCGTCTTCTTCTCTAAAGCTGCTGGGTAGATTAACCTCAAAATAAAGAAAATAAAAATCCCTAAAGAAAGCCCAACACGGCACAATTGAAAATGTTGCAGGCTCGGTTTGATTGAGCCTGTTCATGGACGGTACTGTCAAGTTCAAACTATCGTCCACGCCATATTTATGGTGGGGGTTTGCTCATATTTATACCCCCACCACAAAATATGTGTGTGTGTGTGTGGGGGGGGGGGGGGGCTATAATGGATTCGTTTTGTCGCGTCGGTCGGTCCGTCCGTCCGTCAATCTCCATTTTCGTGTCCGCTCTATAGATCCTATACCAATTTAAGGATTTTCTTCAAACTTGGCTCAAATGTTCACCTCAACAAGGGGATGTGTCAGCATGTGTCAGCTCAAGGTCAAGGTCACAATTGAAGGTCAAATATCAAACACAATCAAATATTAGACAGTATGTCGTGTCCGCTCTGTAAGTCCTACACTAATTGAAAGATTTTCTTCAAACTTGGCTCAAATGTTCACCTCAACAAGGGGATGTGCAGAACCCATGTGTCAGCTCAAGGTCAAGGTCACAATTGAAGGTCAAATATAAAACAATCAAATATTACACAGTATGTCGTGTCCGCTCTGTAAGTCCTACACTAATTGAAAGATTTTCTTCAATCTTGGCTCAATATGTCGTGACCGCTCAAAAAATTCTATACTAATGGAAGAATTTTCTTCAAACTTTAGGGCACACGCATTCTTTTACTTGGGGACCATACGCCGCTTTTCATGGAATGACATTACTGTGTCACATTGAAGGTTCCATGATAACCGCTGTATGAACACATCTGCTGATGTTTCTAAATTCAAAATTCCACCAGTTTTGTGTTTAAATGTTGAATTCTGCTTAAGCCCGTGCTAGGGACGTGCGGGGACGGTAATTTGCACTTTCCAGTACCGTTCATGAACAGGCTCAATCAAACCGAGCCTGCAACATTTTACAATTTTGATGTGTTGGGCTTTCTTTAGGGATTCTGTGTCTCTCTATTTTACTCAAATGATCACCTCAACAAGGTTATGTGCAGAATCAATGTCACCTTTGTGCCGGCTTAAGGTCAAGGTCACACTTAGAGGTCAAATATCAAACATAGAAAATGTTCTTCAATTTTAACATGTACTTGAATATTTCTGAAACTAGCACAGATATTTGCTTGAAACTTTAAAGATATATGAGGTGTCACAAAAAGGATATGCAGGTCTAGTTTCATAACTCTGTATTGCATTTTTACAAAGTTATGCCCCTTTTTAAGTCTTTAAATTTACATCTGTCAATACTAGACAATATGTCGTGTCCGCTCTATAAATTCTATACAAATGGAAGGATTTTCTTCAAACTTTACTCAAATGTTTACCCCAACTGGGCAATGTGCAGAACCCATCTTACCCTTGTGCCAGCTTAAGGTCACAACCACACTTGAAGGGTCAAAAATTGACTTATAAAATGTTAAGTACATTGAGAAAATGAAAGGTTATTTGTAACTGTTTCGAACATGATTTGATAATATATATTTATAGTATTAGGTAATAATATAAATATATATTAGAGACCCCTAAAAGGAGCCAGTCAAAAACTAGAACTATCGCTGAATTAGTCTTTTTCACCAGAGATGATTTCTTTTTATGTATTTGTGCCACTAAAGTTATTCCCTTAACCACTTTTCCAAGTCGTCTTCTGTCAAGGACATTGGTGGTGGTATGAATCGCATTCAGCGATAGTTCTAGTTTTTGACTGGCTCCTTTTAGGGGTCTCTAGGGCTAAAAAATAGAAAAACCTTTAAACATCTTCTACTATAGAACTACAATGTAATTGATAGATGATCAACAAACTTTGTCTGTAGCATTCTTGGGTAGTCTTTTATCAAGTTTGCTCATATTAATTTGATTGGCTCCTTTTAGTGGCCACTAAAGCTAAAAATAGAAAAAACCTTTGAACATCATTTACTACTGAAATAATTGATATATGATCACCAAACTTTGTTGCATTCTAAGGTAGCCTTTTATAAAGTATGCTAATATGAATTTGATTTGCCCCGTTTAAGCTAAAGCTTAAATGCCCCAGGTCATGGCATTTCTTCAAATTATTGTTTAAACATATTCTATGCTCAAATTAAATATAAGAAAATATTGACAATAGATAATTTCTAACACTGAAGAAAGCGGTTGTTTCTGGTGAGCGACTCAGGACCATTATGGCCCTTTTGTTATTTTGTTTCATAATGTACTTACGACATGGTAGATAAAGTCAATATCTAAATAAGATGTACCCTGTTTTCAATTTTTAGCTCACATGTCACAAGGTGACATGGTGAGCTTTTGTGTTCGCTTTCGTCCGGTGTCTGTCCGTTGTCTTCCCGTCCGTAAACTTTTACTTTAAACGACATCCCCTCAAAAACCGCTAAGCCAATCTCATCCAAACTTCACAGGAATGTTCCTTTGGTAGTCAACTTTAAAAATTGTTCAAAGAATTTTATTCCAAGCAGAACACTGGTAGCCATGGCAACCGAAAGAAAAAAAACTTAAAATATCTTTTTTTAGAAAACCGAAAGAGCTAGAGCTTAAATACTTGGCATGAAACATCATCTAGTCAGTGTTTACCAAGTTTCTACAAATAAATGCCCTGGGGTCAAAATTGGCCCCGTCCGGGGGTCATTGATTTTCCTTATTTGTATATAGATCAAACTCTTAAAAAATCTTCTTTTAAAAAACCCAAAAAGCTAGAGCTTAGATATTAAGCATGAAATATCTTTAAGTGTGTGTACAAAGTTTGTTCAAATAAAAGCCCTGGGGTAAAAATTGGCCCCGCCCCAGGGGGTCATTGATTTTCCTTGTTTTTATATAATAAAAAAATTAAAAAATCTTCTTTTAAAAACCCTTAATAGCTAGTCTAAGAGCTTAGATATAAAGCATGAAACATCTTCTAGTGGGTGCCTTCCAAGTTTGTTCAAATAAAAGCCCTGGGGTAAAAATTGGCCCCACCCAGGGGGTCATTGTTTTTCCCTTTATGTATATAGTAAAAACTTTAAAAAATCTTCTTTGAAAAACCCAAAAGAGCTAGAGCTAAGATATTTTTGCATGAAACATCTGCTAATTGATGTCTACCAGGTTTGTTGAAATAAGGGCCCTTTGGTTAAAATTGGCCCCGCCCCAGGGGTCATTGATTTTCCTTATATGTGTATAGTATAAACTTAAAAATCTTCTACTAAAAACCCAAAGACCTAGAGTTTAGATGCTAAGCATGAACTATCTTCTAGAAAGTGTCTACCAAGTTTGTTCAAATAAAAGCCCTGGGGTCGAAATTGGCTCCTCCCGGGGGGGGGGGGTCATTGTTTTTCCCTATATGTATATAGTAAAAACTTAAAAAATCTTCTTACAAAAATCCCAAAGAGCTAGAGCTTAGATATTTATCTTAAATCATCTTTTAATGAATGTCTACCAAGTTTGTTCAAATAAAAGCCCCTGGTTTAAAATTGGCCTTGGCCCAGGGGCCTATATACAGGTGAGCGTTTTCAGGGCCATCATGGCAAAAGCAAACATAAAACTGTTTTTTATTAAAAAGGAATGACATTCTAAGTCGAAAGTTCTCTAAATTTTCAAAAATAAATTTTATGTATTAATTGATTTATCATTTTTTGTAAATGTTCATTTTTTTTTCTTTCTTATAGATATGGAAGGAAAAGGTTTTGCCTAGCAATTTTCTGTATGTCTGGAATTTTATGTTGTGCCGCCGGTATTTTCCAACATTTTGGTAACATGTTAATTGTAAACAAAATTCAATTTTGATTAGTATCATTAACAGTGAAGTCAATTTTCTAGTTTTATCTTTTCCTATTTTACAACATCTCTTCAATTATGCGTTGTGTATGACATAACCTTTATCAGTATCAAAACAAATTTTAATGAACATTTTAAACGTTTTTAAGATGCACTTCCACTTGTAATTCCTTTATAAAACTTAATTTCATTTCAAAAATGCAATTAAATTCTATTTTGATCTAACATTTTTACTTTTATCTTTGGGACACAATCTTATACTACAAAATCAATTTCAGATAAACTATCGAAAACATCTTCCTCTCTTATGGTTACTACATTAGTGGTATCAATATTGGCCAAATTTGCTGTAGCATCTGCAGACAGAAGTGTTATTGTGTATACTACGGAACTATACCCTACAGTTATAAGGTTACTATGTTATCAAGTTATAAACCCGATATAAATTAAGAACAATTTTGAATTTTTAACGTAAATTTTAGTTGTTTGAGTTATCAAAAAAAAAAAAAAAAAAAACGTTTGCAAAATTAACATTTTAGTGCAACACCCTTCTTTCTTTACTAACAAGTTTATAAGTAAATACAGCTATTGTTTCTATTCATGACTAAACGGTGTTTTTGTTAAAAAATATTCATACAATTGGCAAAATCGATGTTCGCATATTATATGAAACATGAAAAATTTATCAATCAGTTTATTTATTGAAATCATTTGTTAATACTAAATTTTATGCTTCTTAATTGTTATCATTATAAAGGACAACAGGTTTCAGTTTCCAGGCGACCGTTGGACGCTTTGGGGCAATTGTATCTCCATTTTTGATTCACATTGTAAGTAATATTATAATGAATTATTTTTTTATATGTGTAAGCCTTATAATATGCAAGTTGTCATGTTATATTTAAAAGAAATTTATTCATGCCCTGGCATTTGGCAGGATTTTCACCATTTCTTTATTTGCAAGTTGTTCTGTTTTAACTAAATAATTGCTATCTTATTGAATTATAATTAGTCATTTTCTTTCGTTTTTCAGATAAGATAATTATATGCCGAATTAATTGTTATTTATTATCTTTTTTACAGAATGGATATTTCCCCGGTGCCATGTACGTTATCTGTGGAGTTATATTGGTTATCTCTTCGGTTTGTATTTTGTTCCTAAGAGAGACAAAGGACTTGATACTGCAAGATTACATCAGACCGGATCCATCAGATTTAAGTACTAAATAAACAGTTTAATAGTTTCATAAACTCGCTTGTAATTGATATTTCATTGCTAAAAGAAAAATAAATATAGTAAACATTCCTCAGATTTATTAATTGATGTTTTTTTTTCTGTTATGATCTTTTATATTTGTGCTAGGTGTTGAAAGCATAACTATTGGAAATAGTATAACTATAACTAAAATAAAATTGATTTCGGATCAGAATGTAACACCTTTAAATATCTGATTAAGCTGAAGGTCGTCATTTAAGGATCACGCCTGCATCCAAACAAAAATGTGTGTTCAAATTTTTAATTTGTTGTGGATGTAATGTTTGAAAGTATAACAACAAGGTGTATGGGAAAAAGTGTGAATTGGGAAAAGTTCTTAACCAAGAATCTGAATCCGTCGCAAATACTGATGCACAATGTGTTTCAAACACAGGTCAAAAGTGTATGAACTTTCCAGGACATAATTCTTAAGTAAGGTCCATTACGCCTAAGATATGCATTTATTTTTATTTGTCAAAAGCTTTGTACTGTTTGTGTCCTGTTAAAAGTTCAGTAGGCTACTCAATTACAAATAACCTAAACCATATTGTGTTTCTATTGCTTTTTGGCCATTTGCATTGTTTAAGTTATTGCGTATTTTGTATAGAAGGCAAATACTACATGTTCTTTGTTACATTTTAATACTGTTATGACAAACAATATTACATTCAACTCTACGTTCATAAGGTGAGAAACATCTTATATACTTTCAAACCATTACTTTAACATTATAACGTGTTTGCCCTTTCATAAAAAAGAGAAAGATATGTTCGTTTCTGGGGTATATATAATATGCTTTAAAGCAAAATCAGTATGACCATGCACGTCTTTAAAAGCATAAAGCTCAAAATTTTCAAAGAAAAAAAGCGATTCGATAAATCAAACTTCTAGATGTGACATATTTTTGTTGGAATTCACAAACAGACTCCCCTTACAAAATCTTTTGTTTGAAGATACAACAAGAAAGTATATGGCAAAATAGTGTGAATTAGGACGAAATTCTTAACCAGAAGTGTGAATCCGTTGCATATACTGATGCACAATGTAGTGTTTACCTTTTCCCGATCCTTTTCAAACACCGACGTCAATACACTTTTGGGATCTGTTCGATCCTAACATTGATTAAATATGATAAGCCTATATCTGTTTTTAAAATATTTAAGGTTACATTGACCGTTTAAACATGACATTTTTAAGTTTCTTGCTCTCATGAAAACGAGAGAAAAATTGTAAAAAGAAGGCCATGATGGCCCAGATCGCTAACCACCTGAGATTGCTAGAAAAGGTCACATTGTTTTGATGTTAAAATCAAAGTCTGTAATGATTATGATGTCACATTTGGTTTGTCATCTTTTACCTAAACTACAGAATTTAAAAATATTTACAACAACATGCTAATAGACGAATATCTCGGCTCTTGGCATTGCAGTTTCACAAAAGAATACTTTAATATATTTTCCTATATTGGCCTCTATAAACTATTGTCCCCGAGGGCGAGGCCAATTTTGACTACAGGGGGTCATAATTTACTTTACCTTTTTTAGAGGACCATAATGTAGTTCTGGACATTTTATTTTCAGAGATAGATATTTTAAATACTTTCACTTTGCAAGACTATGTAAACTAAGTGACCCCAATAGCGAGGAAATTTTGATTACCATTACTTAGACAGAGGATAAATAGATAATGCGGCATATTTTAGTACCATCTATTTATCTTAGCTCTCGGTATTGCTGTTTTCCATGAAGACACTTAAGATATATTTTTCTAAATACAAATCTTTATAGATTAAGAGCTGTATTACTTTTATAGTTTGCAACTTGGCAATGCTAGATGATGTCAAATTACTAAGCTTATGGTTTTGCTGTTTCATAAAGGAAGACTAAAATATATTGATGTTATTTAGCTGACACCAAGGTTGAGGCCAATTTTTGAGGCATAATATATAGTACTTTTGTGCAATGTTACATGCCAAATACCTAATCTCTTAGCATTGTAGTTTCACAAAGAAGACCTTAATTTAATTTCCTAGAAAAGAAGATGATCTCTCTCATACAAGTCTTCAAAGAAACTAAGGTACTCTCATGACGGGGTCAATTTAAATCGCAGGGACATGATATATAATTTTTATAGAGGTCTTTGAAAAGATTTAATTTACTTAAAAACTTATCTAAACTAAATTAGCCCTTGGACATCACTGTTTTACACCCCACGATGATGTAAGGTGACTGTTGCAAAATATCTGAGCCCTAGGCGTTGTTCGTTTGGACAAATAAAATTTAAAACATTTTACTCTACAATTGTATGTAAACTAAGAAACCCTCAGAGCGGGTCTTTTTATGACCTAATGGGCAGGAATTATATAAAGTTTTAGAGATTCACTTTGCAAAACATTTTAGGGGTTCACCAGGCAATGCTGTATTCCTGGGATTATTATTTCACAAAAGAAGTGTGTTTTTTTTCTTTTTGTCAAAATACTTTTTTATCTGTGTGCATTGGACGTCTTATCTTGGATTAGAAGTGTATCATATTGTAAGTTAATTGTTCCCTCATGGTATTAACAATAGTTATTATCTCTTACTGGAAAATGCACATCCCTTAAAAGAAAAACTATATCTCAAGCCAAGAAAAGCCATAATTGTCCTAATTTGAATAGATTTTGATACTTAGATAACTATAACCATGATAAAAATTGCTTTGAGAAGTCCTTATATGCAAAATATATGATAGAATAGAGAACAAAATCCCCAAAAGAAAGCCCAACATGGCAATATTGAAAATGTTGCAGGCCTGGTTTGATTGAGGCTGTTAATGGACATAATTAACATAAGAATGTCGTTGTTTTTTTCAGTAAACGATCGATAATGTCCGCCGCCATTTTTGCTTATGACGTAGGAATAACCATATCGAACTGGGTTGACATATATTTTTCATGTGTTAACATTTTTATAAAGTTCAGCACAATATCGAATAGTTTGCTCTGTTTCTTTTGTTATTGAGCGCGCTTTGGAAGTTTTTGTCGTAAACGAAGATTATGTAAATACAGGCACCATTTTCTTTAATGATAAAGTGTTTTAAATGAACAAGATTTTCTTACAATTCTGCCGCTTTTAAACACAAATTGCCATATTAATAATACTGGAAGAACTTATTGTAAACATAAACTATTTTCAAGTCATCACGAATTTTGCTGAGCTTCTTTACAACCGCTGAGTTATATCCATCAGTAGTTAGGTTACTTATACACTCGTTTCAAACGTAAGCGTCTTTAAAGGATAGGTACAACATGTTGAAAACATGCTTATCAGTAATTAATGTGGTTAAGCTGGTATCCGTTCATTCTCTTTTATTATAATGGTACTTACTACAGCAGCCATGTGTTTGTTTACCCATTATAGTCAAGTGGCGTGGTTGTCCTACAAATGTAACAGCAATAGTTTCACTTCTAATTTAGCGTTTGAGAAGAAATGGTTAAACAAATAACCAGATATACAATCATATATTAACAACGGTAATGATGATAAAATGTGAAATTTAATGTATCATTTATGGCATATACATGTAGGCTTCGATGTTCAAGAAATTATTATATTGCATGTGTGCACGTCTGGTTACTGGCTGTCATGGTCATCGGCGCATGTAACTTTAATTAAAAAATGCACTCCAGATTCATATTTATGGATTAACTTCTGCAGCACAGTATATAAAAGCTTAAAAATTTAACATTATTTGTATGGATGGGTTTTAATCAAAACGAGTTTTTGGGGTATGATATAAATTTTGCCGTTTGAACACCCTTTTAAGTGATACTACATTTCAAATTTTTTACGGTAAAAAATAAATTTTTTGAACACGCAAAATTTAATATTTAGATTGGGCCCGTTTTAAATTTAAAAAATGCTGCCCAAAACAACATTTTTTATCCAGTTTGGGGGAAAAAAGGGGAAAAACATTTTTTCAGTTAAGGAACCCCGTGGCGAACAAAGGAAAAAATTTTTTGCAAATTAAGGGGGAAAAAACCCGCATTGTTTAAGGTATAGTTTTTTTTAATATTTATTTTTTTAAAAAATTTTATTTTTCTTTTAAGAGCATTTAAAATACCCAAAAAAAATCCCCCATCAGAAGTTTAAAAATTTTGATTTATATCACAAAATTAAAAACAATAATATTCCTGGGAAAAAAAAAAACCCCCCTTATCAAATTGCTTTTCATTTGGTTTTAAGTTCTTACTTTCATTTTGCCTTAAATGTAATAACAATTTATCTCTGTCTTTTAATGTAATATATCAGCGCAGTTTATATTGTTTAATTGTTATGAATAGGCACTTAGAAATTCACTATAGTGTCATTAAAAGTAAAGATTTTATAATGATATTGATAATGTGTTTAAGTTTCATTTCAATTTAAGAAATGTCGTCATACAGTGTTCAGACTGAAAATCTCATTGAAGAATTGGGTGGTTGCGGTCATCTTCAAGTATTGCTATGTTTGTGCATACACAGTTCAAACACGATAATATTTTGGAGCATATTGGCAATGTCTTTCTTTGGCTATACCCCTGATTTCTCGTGCACACAACTGGACGTCTCAAAGTCATCTTTATCTACACTTAATCTGAGCAATGTTTCTCCTGATCACCTATGTTCTGCAGGACCGAATACAACGTGTAGTTCCTACATTTTTCAGCAATCAATGAATACCATTGTAAAAGAGGTAACAAAATGTTGATGATATTTCAAATACTAAATAATAAAATAACGAAACAAATATATTAGTCAACAATCGCGAAACTACACGTATTTCTTAAATTATTTACCATTATCATAGTAAAAACGTTTATTAAATGACAATTTCATCTTACTACACAAATATTTAAAATGCATATCAAAAATGAACATATGCGATAAATGTTCTATATACAGTGGAACCTAATTTGTGACAGGCGCTGGATTGTGGCATTGATAACATCATTACAGATGGTTGGCTATCTTGTCGGATCGATTATTGCAGGACTGATGGCCGACAGTCTTGGAAGGAAGGCAACAATAATGTCAGGAATCGCTTCATTGACTTTTGTCAGTTTTGTCGGCTTTTTCGCTCAGTCATGGAAAATGTATGCAGCTATCCGTTTTTTCATCGGTATAGGAGCAGGACTCTCGTATACTGTTCAGTTTACATACATGATAGAATTCGTACCCACAAAATGGCGACCACTAGTAGTTTGTTTCCCTTCAGAACCGATTGCAGCCATGTTATTAGCGTTTGTTTCATGGTGGTTGCATGACTGGAGGAGTTTACATCTTTTAAAGACGATAGTTGGTGTATTATTTTTCATAATGATTTGGTAATGTATTTTCTGCACAACATTTCTTTTCGAAACGAATATCTCGTTCATCTCAATATTTCTTCTTTTTTTTTTGAACCACGTTTAAGGCCCGTTTATTTAAGAAAAATAATACAATACAAGAATACAAACCATGATAACTTTAGCATTTTCATTGATATGTAGATAATTAAAAATAAATTTATTTTGTTATGTTTTTAGTCAGAATATATAAGACATTTTAAAAAGTTAAGAGGTTCATTCATTTACACAATTACATAGGGGCAAAAGGTTAAAAAAGAAAAGAGTAAAGTAACTGCTTTAGTAGCATTTTCCTCTGCATGTACTATTTAGAAATCAAACAATTCAATAAGATTTATCCAGCAATTTTCAAATTCTTCTAGTGTATCATTTTGTAACGCAACAAATCTTTCAATTTTTAATCTGTTTAAAAATTTTCTTTTGTAGATACTTATATCTGGAGTTTATTTAATTTACTGGTATAAATGTAATATTTTGAAAAGAGAAAAATATACGATGTTTTCTTATCTTTAGCATGAACGAAAGATGTAAAATTGTCATACGTAACATTTATTGCTATTTCATTAAGCCATTTGAATAAATTATTCCAGAATATTTGTACCGTTTGGCAGTCCCAAAATAGGTGGCCTATACTTTCAACATCCATACATACTAGATTCGGTTAATTTACATTGAAGGAGAAATTTGTTTGTTGCAATATTCCTGTGTAAAAAATTATATTGAAAGTTTTGTAAAATATTATCTTTGCAATAAACAAAAACGTTTTCGTAAATATTTTGCCATTGAGATTTGTTTTGAGGAAATCGTTCTTCCCATTTTATTTGCGATTTTTTTTTACAGAGTCTTATTTGCTTTTGAATCTGTGTTAACTTGTAACTGATATTGGACGTGTTTGTTTTTTTTCTATGATATCAAAAGTGCTTATTTCTTTTGGCGTTGAAGTTTGATTAATTTGTTGTAGTTTACGTTTTCATTCTTTGGGTATTGATGAAATTAATTTGATAAAAGTTAAATATTTTCTGTATCAGGAATGTCAAAATTAAGTTTTCAGCTGGTCACAAGGTTTTTAAAATTGTTTTGTTTCCTGTTAATAAATATCCTTTATTTTATTGATATTTCTACATTTCCATTTTGGAAAAAGAATTTAAGATCCATTATTTAATTTATTTTTTATGTGTGAATTCTGCCATATTATTTGGTCTTATAGATTTTGTGGATTTTTATTAAAATTTATTTTACTCCATGGCAGTAGTAATTCTTTTAAGAAAGTATTTTCGATTTTAACTTTTTGTATATCATTTGTGTTTAATTTACTTAAATTACTTTTAAATATGTCGATTTCACCTATTTTTTGTAAATTTTTCTTTATTATCTCTTTCCACAATCCATGGTTATTTTCATGAAATATTCTTTTGATCCAGCTTGATTTAATCGAGTTCATAAAAATCGGCAAGTCTATCATATTTAAGCCTCCATATTTAAAGTTTTGTATAAATACATCCCTTTTAACCTTGTCTCTTTTTGAGTGCCATATAAATGCAAAACAGTTTTGTGTAATTGTTTACATAATTTCTTCTGGCGGACTCGGAAGAACAGATATTATTAAGGTTAGTTTTGAAATAATTAAGGATTTTAAAATTGATATATTGCCAATTGTTGTTAAACGTCTTGCCCTCCATCTATTAATGTCTGCTTTAAATTGGTTTAATTTATTCTCGTAATTTATTTTGGTTATTAAGTCACATTTTGAATGGCCTCAATATTTCTAAATAATTCTCTGAAACTTGTCAGAAAAAAACAAGCCAGTTAAAAATGAAATCACTCGAAAGCAGTTTTATATTAAGTTTAAGATTCTTTGTTGTAATAGCTAGTATCATTCAAGGATGCGAATCCTATCGTTTAATTATGCGTTATCTTTTAAAAGTTAATGAAATTACGATTTAATTGTTTTTACAGGTTCTTCCCAGAAAGTTTTAGATGGCTAGGTGCTAAGATGAAATTGAAGCGAGCGAAAAAATCAATCGAATTTATTGCAAAAGTAAACAGAAGAAAATATCCTGACCTAGAAGAAGTATTTAATAGAGCAAAAGTAGAAGCAGTTTCAAATATCACAATTAATTCTAATTTCACAAACTTACTGACTTCAAAAGAGTTGCGAAATGTGACCCTCCCTTTAAGTATAGTAGGGTAGGTAATTCATTGTTGTTTAAAAAGTTGAAATTGACAGCTTTTCATAATGCAAACATATTGTTCATATAAAATGAAGTTATATTAGTTTCTGGTATGTAAATATAATAATTCTTTAATCATTTATCACACTGTACACTTTTAAAGATTAACAACTGTAGTTAACGAGTAGTAACACGAGTTTATTACATGCTTTTCGGTGGTTTATAGAATTATTTCAGTGAAATTGAAAACTGGTATTTCATTGTTTGAAACAGTGAAATTATCAATTTGATATTTTTCAGTGTTTTTGGAATTAAGCCCGTTACGGTGTGTCAGAAATACCAGCGTGTATAGTACTAGAAACCAGTCAATGGCGTCGTGATATTTTTTGGTGCGATGTTCATTTAGTATTAGTTTGAAATGTCTTTTTAAACGTTTCTCTGCATGTAATAAAGAGAAAATTCGTGTAGTTTAGTCTAAGATCGAAATATATTTCACCACGGGAACGCAAAAAAGTCATATTAGTCATATTTCACTCGTTGCTGCGCCAACTCGTCGGATATACCTTTTTGTGCTCTCTCAGTGAAATATATCCCAATCTTAGTCGCACGCGTTGTAATTTCCCGTCCGTGGGAAATCGTTGTTTCCTGCAACAGGAAACGTTACACACAGAGCTAAGTTGTAGTTGGTTTCAGTAACAGATTCGAAAGTGTATCTATAAGCTGAAAGCTATTTATATAATCAAAATGTGCAAATTGTAACACAATACATTAAGTAGTATGAAAATGATTCTGTATGACGAAGCTACAACTTGAAAATATATGCATTTGTTAGATTTCTTTTTACCAAAAACACTTCTTTATAGGTTCTCTGCGTGCCTTTCCTGGTACTGTCTGTCACTTGGAATGGAGGTTGTTTCTGTTAACGTGTATCTGACCATATTACTCATGAACTTTGTTGACTTTCCCGCAGATTTGATGACTGCTGTTTTCATTAGCAGGTATCACTGTTTATATTCTCTACTGTCTTATTCTCTGAAACTGCTGGGCATATTTACCTCAAAACACTTTTAGAGGTCAACAGAGCTAAAAATAGAAAAACCTTTAAACATCTTCTACTATAGAACTAATTGATAGTTGATCACCACACTTTGTCTGAAGCATTCTTGGTTAGTCTTTTAGCAAGTTTGCTAATATTAATTTGATTGGCCCCTTTAAGGGGCCGCTTAAGCTAAAAAAGAAATACCTTTAAACGTCTATTTTTGCAGAACTGATTGATGGATGATAACCAAACTTTGTATGTAGCATTCCTGGGTAATCTTTTATCAAGTTTGCTCATATTGATTTGATTGGCCCCTTTTAGGGGCCGCTTAAGCTCAAAATAGAAATACCTTTAAACGTCTATTTCTGCAGAACTAATTGATGGATAATTACCAAACTTTGTCTGTAGCAAACTTAGGTAGTCTTTTATTAAGTTTGCTCATATTATTTTGATTGGCCCTTTTGAGGGGTCTCTATGGCTAAACGTAGAAAAAACCTTTAAACGTCTTCTTCCACAGAACTGATTGATGAGTGATCACCAAATTTGTCTGTAGCATTCTTGGGTAGTCATTTATTAAGTTTGCTCATATTAATTTGATTGGCTCCTTTTAGGGGCCGCAAAAGCTAAAAATAGAAATACCTTTTAACCTCTATTTCTACAGAACTAATTGATGGATGATCACCAAACTTTGTCTGCAGCATTCTTAGGTAGTCTTTTATCAAGTGTGCTCATATTTATTTGATTGACCCCTTTTAGGGTCTGTTATAGCTAAAAATAGAAAAACGTTTAGACATGTTCAAAATTGGCCAAACTTTGTCTATAGCATTCTTGATTAATCTTTTATCAAATTTGCTCATATTGATTTGATTGGCCCCTTTTAGGGACCGCAAAAGCTAAAAATAGAAATACCTAAACGTCTATTTCTACAAAACTAATTAATGGATAATCACCAAACTTTGTCTGTAGGATTCTTGGGAAGTCTTTTATTAAATTGGCTCATATTAATTTGATTGGCCCCTTTAAGGGGGCGCTAAAGCTAAAAAAAGAAAAACCTTTAAACATCCTCTACTACAGAACTAATTGATGGATGATCACCAAACTTTGTAGCATTCTTAGGTACTCTTTTATCATTTTTGCTCATAATAATTTGATTAGCCCCTTGAAGGGGCCACTAAAGCTGAAAATAGAAAAAAAACCTTTGAACATCATTTCCTACTGAAATAATTGATAGATGATCACCAAACCTTATAGCATTTTTAGGTAGGCTTTTATGAAGAATGCTCATTAATTTGATTTGCCCGTTTAAGCTAAAGCTTAAATACCCCAGGTCATGGCATTTCTTCAAATTATTGTTTAAACATATTCTATGCTCAAATTAAATATTAGAAAATATTGACAATGGATAACTTCCAACATTGCAGAAAGCAGTTGTTTCTGGTGAGCGACTCAGAGCCATTATTACCCTGTTGTTATTTTTTATAATGTACTTACGACATGGTAGATAAAGTCAATATCTATGATGCACCCAGTTTTCAATTTCTAGCTCACCTGTCACAAGGTGACATGGTGAACTTTTGTGTTCCCTTTTCGTCCTGCGTGCGGCCGTCGTCTTTCCAAGCAGAACACTGGTAGCCATGGCAACCGAAAGAAAAAACTTAAAACATCTTCTTTTAGAAAACCAAAAGAGCTAGGGCTTAAATATTTGGCATGAAAACCCATTTAGTCAGTGTTTACCAAGTTTCTCCAAATAAATGCCCTGGGGTCAAAATTGGCCCCGTCCGGGGGTCATTGATTTTCCTTATTTGTATATAGATCAAAATCTTGAAACAATCTTATTTTAAAAAAAAACAAATAGCTAGAGATGTTAAGCATAAAACACCTTTTAGTTGGTGTCTACCAAGTTTGTTTAAATAAAAGCCCTGGGGTAAAAATTGACCCCGCCCAGGAGGTCTTTGATTTTCCTTATTTGTATATAGTAAAAACTTAAAAATCTTCTTTAAAAGTTTAAAAGTTTTTTAGTTAGTTTAAGAGCTTAGATATAAAGCATGAAACATCTTCTAGTGGGCGCCTACCAAGTTTGTTAAAAAAAAAACCTTGGGTAAAAATTGGCCCCACCCAGGGGTCATTGATTTTTCTGATATGTGTATAGTAAAAACTTTTAAAATATTTTTTTGTATAAATTGATTTATCATTTTTGTTACTGTTCAATTGTTTACTTTCTTATAGATATGGTAGAAAAAGGTTTTGCCTAGCAATTTTCTGTATGTCTGGAATTTTATGTTGTACCGCCGGTGTTTTCCAACATTTTGGTAACATGTTAATTGTAAATAAAATTCAATTTTGAAAATATCATTAACAATGAAGAAATTTTCTAGTGTTATCTTTTCCTATTTTACAACATAACCTTTATCAGTGTAAAAAAACGATTTTAATGAGCATTCTAAACGTTGTTCGGTGCCTTTCCACTTATAACTTCTTTATTAAACTTAGTTTCGTTTCAAAATGCAATTAAATTCTATTTTGATCTTACATTTTTACTTTTGTCTTTGGGACACAATCTTATATTACAAGATCAATTTTAGATAAACTATCGAAAACATCTTCCTCTGTTATGGTAACTACATTAGTGGTATCAATATTGGCCAAATGTTCTGTAGCATCTGCAAGCAGAAGTGTTATTGTGTATACTACGGAACTATATCCTACAATTATAAGGTAACTATGTTATCAAGTTAAAAACCCTTTATAAATTAATAACAATTCTGAATTTTGAACGTAATTTTCTTTTCTTTGAGTTATCAAAAAAAAAGTTTGCAAAATTAAAATTTTAGTGCAACACAAGATACTGTATCCTTCTTTCTATACAAACAAGTATTTAAGTAAATACATCTATTGTTTAAGGAAAAATTGTTTTCTATTCATGACTAAAAGGTGCTTTTGTTAAAAAAAATATTCATACAATTGGCAAAATCGATGTTCGCATGTTATATGAAAAATGAAAAACTTATCAATCAATTTATTTATTGAAATCGTTTGTTAATACTGTATTTTATGCTTTTTAATTGTTATCATTTTAAAGGACAACAGGTTTCAGTTTCCAGGCGACTGTTGGACGCTTTGGGGCAATTGTATCTCCATTTTTGATTCATATTGTAAGTAATATTATAATGAATTATTTTTTATATGTGTAAGCCTTATAATATGCAAGTTGTCATTTTATTTTTAAAAGAAATTAATTCATGGATTTTCACCATTTTCACCATTCCTTTATTTACAAGTTGTTCTGTTTTAACTAAATAATCGCTATCTTATTGAATTATAATTAGTCATTTTCTTTCGTTTTTCAGATAAGATAATTATATGCTGAAGTAAATGTTATTTATTATCTTTTTACAGAATGGATATTTCCCCGGTGCCATGTACGTTATCTGTGGAGTTATATTGGTTATCTCTTCGGTTTGCATTTTGTTCCTAAGGGAGACAAAGGACATGGTACTGCAAGATTACATCAGGCCGGATCCATCAGATTTAAGTACTAAATAAACAGTTTAATAGTTTCATAGACTCGCTTTTAATTGATATTTCATTGCAAAAATAAAGATAAATATCATAATCATTGCTCAGATTTATTTATTGATGTTGTATTTTCTACTATGATCTTTTATATTTGTGTTAGGTGTTAAAGGTATAACTAATGTTGTATGGAAATAGTATAACTATGACTAAAATAAAATCGATTTCAGATCAGAATGTAACACCTTTCAAAATCTGATTAAGCTGAAGGTCGTCATTTAGGTATCACGCCAGCATCGAAACAAAAATGCTGTGTTCAAATATTTAATTTGTTATGGATGTAATGTTTGAAAGTATAACAAAAGGTATATATGAAAAAGTGTGAATTGGGAAAAGTTTTTAACCAAGAATCTGAATCCGGCACAATGTGTTTCAAGCACAGGCCAATAGTGTATGAACTTTCCAGGACATAATTCTTTCATAATTGTTTCTATTGCTGTTTGGCCATTTGCATTGTTTAAGTTACTGCGTATTTTGTATAGAAGTCAAATACAACATGTTCTTTGTTACAATTTGATACTGTTATGAGATATAATATCACATTCAACTCTACGTTCATTAGGTGATAAACATCTTATATACTTTCAAACCATTACTTAAACATTATAGATAACGTGTTTGCCCTTCCTAAAAAAAAAGAGAAAGATATGTTCGTTTCTGAGGTATATATAATATGCTTTAAAGCAAAGTCAGTATGATCATGCACGTCTTTAAAAGCATAAAGCTCAAAGGCTGTAAAAAGAAAAAAAGCGATTCGATAAATCAAACTTCTAGATGTGACATATAACAAGACAGTATATGGCAAGATAGTGTGAATTAGGACGAAATGTTTAACCAAAAGTGCGAATCCGTTGCAAATACTGATGCACAATGTAGTGTTTACCTTTTTCCGATCCTTTTCAAAAAACCGACGTCAATAAAATTTTAGGATCTATCTGACCATTATTAAACATATTGATTATTAATCATATGTATTAAGTATGATAAATTTATATCTGTTCTTAAAATATTAAAGGTTATATTGGCCGTCTAAGGATGAAATTTTTAGTTTCGTGCTTTCATGAAAACGAGAGAAAAATGTAAAAAGGGGGCCATGATGGCCCAGATCTCTTACCAACTGAGATACATTGCTAGAAAAGGTCACATTTTTTCAATGTGAAAAATCAAAGTCTGAATGATTATGATGTCACATTTGGTTTGTCATCTTTTACCCAATCTGCAGAATTTAAAAATATTTCTAGACATAGTACGACATGCTTATTGACGAATATATCGGCTCTTGGCATTGCAGTTTCTAAAAACAGGGCTGGGAATCTAAACTGCGTCATATCCTACAAAATGTAAACAAACGCCGCCATCTTGGAACGAAAAAGGTATGTTTTTGTTTATTACTCTTTTTGTTGGAAATGGCTGAAAACTAGATATATGTATTAACATGCTCCACTATTTTCCGCTTCTTTCGGTATATGTTGTTTGTACAACTATTTTGTAAATCAAAAGTTATAGCGAACTTGCAACTTGAAGCGGGCCAGAATTGTTATGAAATTTCGTGGATACGACGCAGTTAATATTGCTTTATCGTTTTTTTCCTTCAAATCAATTATATACTAATTTTAGAGTTCAAAACTTCAAAATATAATTTTGCATCATGTACTAAGATTTCATTAAAACGAAATATGTATTTTCCAAGAAAATAGTAATATGTACAAAATGAAACGACGCAGATGAAAATAAAATATGATACGACGCAGTTGTATTTTTGGTAGTCTTTTCAACAGGGATAATTTTGGCAATATATGTTAATTTTACCGGATAATCACTTGTGCTAGATAAAAAAACTAAGATCATTCGCAGTTTATAGCTATGTTCTGATGCTTTTGATTATTTAGAAAGCATTGTGTCATGTCCAATTTACATTGCAGACGCTACTTTTCAGTTAAACATGAACATGCTACTTTATTTATCATAATATCTGAAATAATTTCTTATATTGTCCGGTATGCTCAATATTATCCGTATTTTGGGGGCAAAAATATAGAGGTCTATAAAATTGAATAAAAAAAATCATTTTGGCTAGCTACGCTCTTATTTAACTGTGAGTCAGTATGTACTAGGTGATGACTGCTTTCAAACTTTCACTCTACACTTTAGTTTTACTGGAGGTAAGAACCTCAGATGCGCCTTTGTGCATTATTTCAGGCAAAATGTTACACCTGCAGAGAACCATTAGCTTACGAAATAATCAGAAGTCCCTAGTGGTTTTCAAATTCACAGCAGTTAAGTGCAAGTGATTTGAAGTCAGTAAATATAAACAGCTCGGCCTCGGTCGGACACACCTGTCTGCATTTTTTCCAACAAATTTGTTAACCATGGTCTTAAATGTCAGCCGTCCAAGTAAGCAGTCTTTTTTATTATTCTTCTGGCACGAAGTTTTAAGATTACAAGTATTTAAATTAATTATAAAGTGAATAACATTTAAATTTCTTGTTAAAATGAAATATTTCCTTACTCTTAAGATCACTTTTTACTTTGATATTTCGTTTAAAAAAGGATGTGTCAGTGTTGTGAATAGCAGAGAATTTTTCAATGTAAACAGGGGGTAATCCTCTTCGAAGACATTTTCTGAAAAAAATATGTGTCAGGCAATTCATTATCAAATAAAAATCACACTTTAGTATAAAGTTATGTTAAGATGCCTTCTCTTTTCACTGCGATAATCAGAGGTTTTCACATCCTGGCTTTAATCTTATATAGGAAAACTTCAATACTATTGAAACATCATGTCGTGCATATATCTGTATCAAATTTATCGGTGCAAAGGATAAAAAACCTTTGCAAAACGGACACCTGGCTACTTTACAAAATTTGTGTTTTGTTTTATCTTTTGTAACCCGAATTTGAAAATTTAAAGTTTTTTAATGAAGAAGAATGACACTATAGTGCGAATCCAGAAAAAAAACATTCCGTAGACCTGTTCTCATCGTCGATAAAGAAATGCAATACGACAAAATCAGCGGTAAAGTTCCACGGCGCTGGACATAAAATGATTGAACGAAACTCGTACAGTACTTACAAAAGTATATCGTAGCTTAACCATTTATAATCTAATCTTTTAAACGATATTGGTCAGAATAAATGACCATTTCTCCTGATCATGTTTTAAAAGAGGAATAATACTTTATTTAAATACCGATTTAAGTTTCAAATAATAAAGCTAATCTGTTCTCATTATTTATTAAGAAAAAAGACATAAGTGATAACGGAATTGTTGCAAAATGTTGTAATTATACAAAGGAAGCTATGCAATTTGCTCATAGAAAAAATATAACCATCCCCATTAGTTTGGAACTCATGAGAACAAGTTAATAGGCATGCTAAGGCAGCACTCAAACACGTACGTTGTCATATGGGTTGCGATCACGTGTTTCAATGTATTTTATACACATTTTTCGGAATTTGTAGATGCTTATGACAGGTGCTAAAAATGCGACCGAAAAATGAAGCCTTAATAGAATTTTCCATTTTCGTGGGACCAATGAGTGACTTCTGCTCTCGACTTAAGTTGTATAGGTCACTTGTGCGCATTCATAATATTTAATGAAAAATCGCAAACAAGAAATGTTGTTGGACTTTACTAGCATACTTGAATCAATATGCAGCCTGCAATGAAAATACAACTGCGTCGTATGATATTTTATTTTCAACTGCGTCGTATCATTTCGTATACATTATTGTTTTCTTGGAAAATAAACATTTCTTTTTAATGAAATCTTAGTAATGATGCAAAAAATTGTATTTTGAAGTTTATGGTGAATTCTGAAATAAGTATATAATTAATTTGAAGGAAAAAACGATAGATAAAGCAATATTAACTGCGTCGTATCCACAAAATTCATAAAAATTCTGCTCCGCTTCGAGTGGCAAGTTCGCTATAACTTTTGTTATACAAAATAGTTGTGCAAGCAACATATACCGAACGAAAAGGAAAATAGTTGAGCGTGTTAATACATATATTTGGTTTTCAGTCATTTCCAACAAAAAGAATTATAAACAAAAACATACTTTTTTCGTTCCAAGATGGCGGCGTTTGTTTACATTTTGTAGGATTCTATGCAGTTTTGATTCCCAGCCCTGCAAAAGAAGACTTTAATATATTTTCCTATATAAGCCTATATAAACTATTGACCCCGAGGGCGAGGCCAATTTCGACTACAGGGTCATATTTTTCTTTACCTTTTTAGAGGACCATAAGGTAGTTCTGGATATTTTATTTTCAGACAAGGATTTTATTAGTATTTCCACTTTGCAAGTCTATGTAAACTAAGTGACGCCAAGGGCGAGACAATTTTGATTAACATTACTTAGACAGAGGATAACTAGATAATGCGGCATATTTTAGTACTGTCTATCTATATAAGCTCTAGGTATTGCTGTTTTCCAGGAGAACTCATTAAATATATTTTTCTAAATACAAATCTATATAGATTACGAGAAACCATAGGGCGGGACCAATATTGACCTTAAGGCCATGATCTGTATTACTTTTATAGTTTGCAACTTGGCACTGCTAGATGGTGTCAAATAACTAAGCTAATGGTTTTGAAGTTTCATAAAAGAAGACTTAAATATATTGTCCAATGTAAGCCTATGTTATTTAACTGACACCAAGGTCGAGGCCAAGTTTTGAGGCATGATATATGGTACTTTTATAGAGGTTCACTATGCAATGTTGCATGCCAAATACCTAAGCTCTTAGCATTGTGGTTTCACAAAGAATATCTAAATTTATTTTTCTAGAAAAGAGGGTGATCTCTCATACAAGTCTTAAAAGAAACTATGGTACCTTCATGATGGAGTCAATTTAAATCGCAGGGAAATGATGTATAAATTTATTTATAGAGGATCACAAGGCTTATGCTGCATGTACAATATCTAAAATCTTTGAAAAGAAGATTTTATTTTTACATTAGACATTTAGACATTTACTAAAAAAGTTTATTTAAACTAAGTTAGCCCTTGGACATCACCGTTTTACACCCCAGGGGCCTTATTTATATAACTTAGATGATTTTTTTTCAAAATATCTGTGCCCTAGGCGTTGTACGTTTAGACAAAAAAATTTAAGACATTTTACTCTACAATTGTATGTAAACTAAGTAACCCTCAGAGCGGGTCTATTTTTGACCTAATCGGCAGGAATTATATATATTTCACTTTGCAAACATTATAGGGGTCCACAAGGCAATGCTGCATTCCAAATACCTTAGATCCTGGGATTATTATTTCACGAGAGAAGTGTTTTTTAATTTCAAAATTCAATAGTGATCTAAAAACACTTCTGCGACAAGGGATTAGCCAGCCTGATTTTTACGGGGATGTTGTTTACAAACTTCGTAAGATCTTGGGTCATTGTAATTTTTCTGTTGTGTTTACTAAAATTATTAAACGTTTTATTAAAAGGGGTTATGACCCTACTATTTTAAGACATACCGCATGCTAAGTGTTCAACCCATTTACAGTTGGACACTACGCTTTACTCCTTTGATTACATCTGACGGACCAAGTGGGAGACTCTATGATGGACAGTTCTTTAAGCCCTTTGGGACTGAATTGCCTTAATGTTTGTCTTCTGTCTTGCTTCGTCGGGCGCTTGTAGGTGATTTTCTTGTTGCTCTGTCTTCCTTTAAGACATCGAGTACTTTTGTTATAGTCATTGGGTTTACTTTTTTATGTTTCTACATTATCATTTTGGTGTTTTTCTTATTTAACCTTTTGTAACCATAACAACTGTTAGAATTTCACTTGGCGGGGATTCATTTTATTTACACTGTCTTATTTATAGGAACATGGTGGGGCTAAGAGCGAGGTTTGGTGCACCATTAACCGATTTAAACTCCCCAGCAGTATTTATGCTGCTGACCGTTCCTAGGCGGCGCCCCTCTATGTTCCTCAGATGTATGTCTATGTTGTTTTATACTGTTATGGTGACACTTTTGTGTCTCTTGTTGTTTCTCGACTACGGTAAGTATCTTCCCCTTTGCCCCTAGTTTTTATTTATTTTCTTTATCCCCCCCCCCCCTCCCCCGGGTCTCGTGTCCCCTTCCCCTGTGCTTTTTGACTATATGGGCCTAATATTCATCATTTATTTGTTTTCTTTTAGTTCCTTATCAGTAACTAATTATTTATTCTTATGTAGTGGTTTGCCTGCCCGTGCTCTGCCTTATGCCCTGTCCTATTTTTGTTTGGGGTATTCCTGGGCTCCTTGCCACTGACGCTTGTTACTGGGTGGGGGCTGCGTTCATTGAACGCCGCCTTTCCTTGTCGATCTTGTTTATCATATTTTGTTGTTTTTTTCTTTTTGTCCAAAATACTTTTTTATCTGTGTGCATTGGACGTCTTAACTTGGAAGAAGTGTATCATATTGTAAGGTAATTGTTCCCTCATGGTATTAACAATAGTCATTAACTCTTGTTGGAAAATGCACATGCCTTAAAAGGAAAACTATATCTCAAGCCAAGAAAAGCCATGATTGTCCTACTTTGAATAGATTTTGATACTTAGATAACACTAACCATGATAAAAATTGCTTTGAGAAGTCCTTATTTGCAAAATATATGATAAAATAGAGAAATAAATCCCCAAAAGAAAGCCCAACACGGGAATATTGAAAATGTTGCAGGCCTGGTTTCATTGAGCCTGTTCATGGACATTATTTACATCAGCATGTCGTTTTGTTCAGTGAAACGATCGGTAATGTCCGCCGCTATTTTTGCTTATGACGTAGGAATAACCATATCGTACTGGGTTGACATATATTGTTCATGTGTTAACATTTCTATAAAGTTCGGCACAATATCGAATTGTTTGCTCTGTTTCTTTTTTTATTGAGCGCGCTCGTAAACGAAGATTATGTAAATACATTCAACATTTTCTTTAATGATGAAGTGTTTTTAATGAACAAAATTTTCTAACAACTCTGCCGCTTTTAAACACAAATTGCCATATTAATAATACCGGAAGAACTTATTGTAAACATAAACTATTTTCAAGTCATCACGTATTTTGTTGAGCATCTTTACAAACGCTGAGTTATATCCATCAGTATTTTAAGGTTAGTTATACACTCGTTTCAAACGTAAGCTTTTTTAAAGGATATGTACAACATGTTGAAAACATGATTATCAGTATTTAATGTGGTTAAGATGTGTATCCGTTCATTCTCTATTATTATAATTGTACTTACTACAGCAGCCATGTGTTTGTTTACCCACTTTAGTTATGTGGCGTGGTTGTCGTACAAATGTAAAAGCAATAGTTTCATTTCTTATTTAGCGTTTGAGAAGAAATGGTTAAACAAATAACCAGATATACAATCATATATTAACAACGGTAATGATGATAAAATGTGAAGTGTGATGTATCATTTATCGCATATACATGTAGGCTTCGATGTTCAAGAAATTATTATAGTACATGTATACACGTCTGGTGTTTGGCTGTCATGGTCATCGGCGCATGTAACTTTAATCCAAAATGCACTCCAGTTTCATATTTATGGATTAAATTCTGGTAAATTATGTAGCACAGTATATACAGCTTACATTTAACATTGACATGTATGGTTAGGCTAAATCAAACCGAGTCTGGAGTATGATCGTGTTGAAGCACTTTCGTGTGATACTACATTTCATTATTGTACGGTAAAAGTATTTCTGGAACACGCAAAATTCAATATGAGATGCTAGTAATGGATAATGCTGCAAAACAACATGTCATATCCAGTGGCGAACAAGGAAAATCATTTGTGCATTTAAGGAACACAGCATTGTTTAAGGTATAGTTATTTTAATCATTTATTTGTTTAAAAATCTATTTACTTTGAAGAGCATAATATACCCAAACAATATCCACATCAGAAGTTAAAATTATGATCAGTATCACATAAATTAATACAATAATATTCCTGGTAAAAAAGAGTAAACTCCTCTATCAAATTGCTTTTCATTTGGTTTTAAGTTCTTACTTTCATTTCGCCTTAAATGTATTAACAATTTATCTCTGTCTTTTAATGTAATATATCAGCGCAGTTTATATTGTTTAATTGTTATGAATAGGCACTTGGAAATTTACAAATGTATTTATAAAAGTATATATTTTGTAATAATATTGATAAAGTGTTGAATTTTCTTTTTAATTTAAGAGATGTCGTCATACAGTGTTCAGACTGAAAATCTCATTGAAGAATTGGGTGGTTGCGGTCATCTCCAAGTATTGCTTTGTTTATGCATACACAGTTTAAACACGATAATATTTTGGAGCATATTGGCAATGTCTTTTATTGGCTATACCCCTGATTTTTCGTGCACACAACTGGACGTCTCACAGGCATTTTTATCTACACTTAATCTGAGCAATGTTTCTCCTGATCACCTTTGTTCTGCAGGACCAAATACAACGTGTAGTTCCTACATTTTTCAGAAATCAATGAATACTATTGTAACAGAGGTACCTGAATGTTGATGATATTTTAAGTAAATAAAATAACGAAACAAATATAATAGTCAACAATCGCGAAACAACATGTATTTCTTAACTTATTTGCCATGTTCATAGTAAAAAACGTTTATTTATTAAATTACAATTTCATTTTACTACAGAAAGATTTTAAATGCATATCAAAATTGTACTAATGCGATAAATATTCTATATACAGTGGAACCTAGTGTGTGACAGACGTTGGATTGTGGCATTGATTACATCATTACAGATGGTTGGATATCTTGTCGGATCAATTATTGCTGGACTGATGGCCGACAGTCTTGGAAGGAAAGCAACAATAATGTCAGGAATTGCTTCATTGAGTCTTTTCAGTTTGGTTGGCTTTTTCACTCAGTCATGGAAAATGTATGCAGCCATCCGTTTTTTCATCGGCATAGGAGCAGGGCTCTCGTACACTGCTCAGTTTACCTATATGATAGAATTCGTTCCCACAAAATGGCGACCACTGGTAGTTTGTTTCCCTTCAGAACCGATTGCTGCCATGTTATTAGCGTTTGTTTCATGGTGGTTGCATGACTGGAGGAGTTTACATCTTTTGAAGACGATAGTTGGTGTATTATTTTTCATAATGATTTGGTAATGTATTTTCTGCTGAACATTTCTTATTTCTTAATATGTCTCGAAATTTGTCAGCCAGTTAAAAATGCAATCACTCGAAAGCAGTTTATATCATGTTTAAGATTCTATGTTGTAATAACTAGTATCAAGCAAGGATGGGAATCCTATCGTTTAATTATGCGTTTTCTGAATATAAGTTCATTATTTGTTACAGGTTCTTACCAGAAAGTTTTAGATGGTTGGTTGCTAAGATTAAATTGAAGCGAGCGAAAAAATCAATCGAATTTATTGCAAAAGTAAACAGAAGAAAATATCCTGATCTAGAAGAAGTATTTAATAGAGCAAAAGAGGAAGCTGTTTCAAATAACACAATGAATTCTAATTTCACAAAATTATTGACTTCGAAAGAGTTGCGAAAAGTGACCCTCCTTTTAAGTATAGTAGGGTAGGTCATTCATTTATGTTTAAATTAGAGCTTTGCATAAAACAAACATATATACAAGCGAAATTACTTCAATTTCTGATGAATGTAAATATAATTATAAAACATAATTTTAATCATGTAACACACTGTACACGTTCAAAAATGAAAAACTGTAGTTAGTTAACGATTAGTAATAGGATATTTGGTCGCACATATTCCAATTCTGTCACGGGAAAATCGTTGTTTACTGCAGCAAGAAACGTTACACACAGAGCTAAGTTTTAGTTGGTTCCAGTAACAGATGCGAAAGTGATCCTTAGATTTAAAGCTATCTACATAATCGAAATGTTAAATGTTAACACTATACATTTAAGTAGTATGAAAATGATTCTGTCGTCTACATTGTATGACATAGCTAGAAATAGAAGATACATGCATTTCTTTTTACCAAAAACATCATTTTATAGGTTTTCTGCGTGCCTTTCGTGGTACTGCCTTTCACTTGGAACAGAGGCTGTTTCTGTTAACGTGTATCTGACCATGTTACTCATGAACTTTGCTGACTTCCCTGCAGATTTGATAACTGCTGTTTTCATTAGCAGGTATCCTTGCTAATAAAATACATCAATATTATAGAGTTCATTAATTGTTATTGTACCGATAACAAAAATAAGTATTATTATTAAATAGCACCCTATGGTAACCAGCAGTTGCATGTAAAATATTTAAGTGCGTGCCTTTCGTAATAGTTTAACTATATTTTTCATACTATACTTACCACGTGTCAGATAAAGTCAATGTCAAAATAAGATATAGCCTGTTTTCAATATTTTATAATTTGATTTAACAAAAGCAAACATAAATATTATGATCTTAAACAAAAAGGAATGACATTCTTAGTCGGCAGTTCTCTAATTTTTCAATAATAAATTGTATTAATTAATTAATTATCTTTTTTTTTTGTACATGTTCAATCTTAATTTCCTTTCTTTTAGATATGATAGGAAAAAGTTTTGCCTAGCAATGTTCTGTGTGTCTGGAATTTTATGTTGTGCCGCCGGTGTTTTCCAACATTTTGGTAACAAATTTATTTAAATATATGTAAATACACCTTAGAGTGATTCAATCTAAATCAGTTTTTTAATCAAAATATAAAACATCTTAGAACAACAAATGTCAAAATGTTTTGTTCACTTGAACAACAATTACAAAAATGTTTAAATTAATTTTTGTTAAATGTACAATTGAATGAACAAGATTCAATTTTGATTAATATCATTAATATTGAAGTCAATTTTCTAGTTTTAGCTCTTCCTATTTTAGAGCTTCTGTTCATTATGACTTGTCTATGTCAAAACATTTATCAGTGTTATAACCACAATTTTAATGAGCGTCCCAATCATTTTGAAATGCACTTCCACTTTTACATTATTTACTTCATTTCAAAGTGGACCATGATCCACCATTCTTACCGTTTTCTTCGTAATGCAATCTTACAATACAATTAAAACATTTCCGTATGTTGCTATTATAATATTCTGTATTTACATTATTTACAGATAAAATATCGAAAACATCTTCTTCTCTTATCGTAGTTACATTTGTGGTTTCAATGTTAGCCAAATTTGCTGTATCATCGGCAGACAGATGTGTTACCCTATACACAACGGAACTATATCCTACAGTTATAAGGTTACTATGTTATCAAATTTTTAACCCGATAATTCATTCAGAAAAATTCTGAATTTACAACGTAAATTGTTGTTCGTTGAGTTATCCAATTCAGGTAACAAAAACGTTTGCAAAATTTAAATTTAAGTGTTATTCAAGAAACTGCATCTTGCTTTCTTTACATACAAGTTTTTTAAGTAAATACATTATATATTTATTGTTCCAGCGAAAAATAATGTCTTGTTATGACTAAAAGTTATTTTATATAAAATTATTAACACAATTGGCATAGTCGAAGGCTAGAAGTTAGATATTTTGCATGAAACATTGTATAGTAAACCATTACCAAGATTGTTAAAATTATAGCCCTAGGGTCAAAATTTGCCCCGCCCCGGGGGTCATTGATTTTCACTATGTACTATCTTATTGTCTGAAGGTACAAGGCTTAGAGCTCTGATATATTGTTTATGATATCATCTATAGATACTCTACCAAAGTTGATCAAATTTTGCCTCTAGTGTCAACATTTGCCCCGCCCCGGGGTCATAGTTTTCCTTATATGTATATAGTAAAAACTTTAAAAAATCCTCTCCTCTAAATTGACATAGGCTAGAAGTTAGATATTTTGCGTGAATCATTGTGTAGTGAACCTCTAGCAATATTGTTCAAATTATAACCCTGGGGTCAAAATTGGCTCCGCCCCGGGGGTCATTGATTTTCAGTCACTACTTACATATAGTAAAAAAAACTAAATTCTTTTTGTCTGAAGGTTCAAGGCTTAGAGCTTTGATATTTTGTATATAATATTATCTATGGATCGTCTACCAAAATTGTCTAAATTATGCGCCTAGTGTTAAAATTGCCCTGCCCCAGAGGCGATAGTTTTCCTTATATGTATATAGTTAACACTTGAAAAGTCTCAGAATTAACAAAGGCTAGAGGTTAGATATTTGGCATGAGACTTTGTGTAGTGAACCTCTACCAAGTTTGTTCAATTTATAGCCCTGGTGTAAAAATTGGCCCCTCCCAGGGGTCATTGATTTTCACTATGTACATATAGTAAAAAAATAAAAAATCTTCTTGTCTGAAAGTAATAGGCTTAGAGCTTTGATGTCTGTTTTATAATATCATACATAGATCCACTTCCAAAGGTGTTCAACTTTTGCGCCTAGTGTCGAAATTGGCCCTGCCGGGGGCATTGATTTTCATTATATACACATAGTAAAAACAGAATCTAAAACAAATGTTTTCTGAATTGACGAAAACTACAGCTTAGATATTTGACATGAAATGTTGTTTGGTGGACCTGTATCAAGATTGTTTGAATTAAGCCCTTGGGTCAAAACTTTGCCTTGCCCAAGAGGACAGTGGCAAACTTTCTTGTCCTTTGATGTATAGCCATGAAAGTTTGACTATGTGCACAGTTTTAGTTGTAAAATTGAACTTTGATATCAGGTGACCTTTTTGATGTTGTGACCTACTTTCTTGTCCTTTGATATGCAGCTATGAAATTTGAACCATGTGCACGGATTAAGATGAAGAGTGAACTTTGATATCAGCTGGCATAGATTTTGACAAAGTGTCTTACTGTGTTGTCCTTTGATGTACAGTCATGGAATTTTGGCCATGTGAAACATGACCTTCACCACCAAATTCAATAGACTCAACTGAATTTGATAGATTCTTACTCTGATCTTTTATTTGAATAACAAATGTTTTAACCACTAATCTGATAATAAGAATTAGATAGGTCAGTGATCTATGCATTATGGTATTCTTCAATTGACAATGTATAGAAACAAAAAAAATCTGTTCCTACATTACTATTTAGTGTTGTATAAATGCGGTGGCATAGCCTTTTTTACAAATGCAATCTTGTTTCTTGACGTGTTTGAATGAAAATGGATATTAATTCTTCGTGCATTATAGTTATCTTCGTTAAAATGCTTTGTAATTAATCACTCAGACTTATCGGCCTTCGTGATTTTAACTCAAACCATGCATTATTTAACAACAATGCACTCAGACTTGATATCATTTTTCCTAAATTAATAGATTTATTATTCAGCGTTAATTCATACTATATTTTATGTTTCTTAATTGCCATCTTATTTTTAGGACAACAGGTTACAGTTTCCAGGCGACTGTTGGGCGCTTTGGGGCAATTGTATCTCCATTTTTGATTCACATTGTAAGTAATATAATGAATTATTTTTATATGTGAAAGCCTTATAATATGCAAGTTGTTTTAATCCTTTTTAAAGGAGTTTATGCGCGGGCATTTGACAGGATTTCCACATATTCACAATTCCCTTACTTGCAAGTTGTTATGTTTAAAATAAATAATCGTTTTCAAAATTCTTGGATTATATTAAGTGATTTTCTTTCCTGATTCAATTAAGATAATTATATGCTGACGCAAAAGTAATTCATTATCTTTATACAGGATAGATATTTCCCCGGTTCCATGTACTTCCTCTCTGGAGTAATGTTGCTTATTTCTTCGGTTTGTATTTTGTTCCTAAGGGAGACAAAGAACATGGTACTACAAGACTACATCAGACCGGATCCATCAGATTTAACTAACTAAATAAACAGATAATATTTTCATCGACTCGCCTTAAATTGATAGTTCATTGCTAAAAGAAAGAAAGATAAATGAAGTGAACATTGCCAGGACGTATTGAATTATGTTTATTTTTTATTATGATCTAAACGTATTTGTTTGTTAGGTGTTAAAAGCATTTAATTTATCTAATATGAAAACAGAAAAATAGATGGAAATAAATAAAATTGATTCCAGATCAGAATGTAAAACCTTGAAAAACTTTGAGTAAGCTAAAAGTCGTCATTTTTGGATCATGCCTACATTCAAACAAAAATGATCAGTGTTTAAATCTTTACTTTGTTAATAGATGATATATTTTCAAACACATTACATTTCCAGCACATTTTTTTTAATAAAAGGCCCATTTTGCCCAATTTATTTTACAGCTGTACGTTTATCAGGCGATAATCATCTAACAAACTTTCAAATCATTACTTAAACTTTATAAATTACATATTTGCCCGTCCTAAAAAAAGCAGAAAAAATATATTCGTTTCTGAAGTATAGTGTGCTTTTAAGCAAAGTCAGTATGACTATGTGAGTCTTAAACGTCTTTTCTAAATTTCAGAGCTCAAAGGCTCCAATAAGAAATAAGTAATTCGATAAATCAAATTTCCAGGTGTGAATGTGCATAATTTTGTTGGAATTCAGAAACAGACTTGAGAATTTAGTACCCCTCAAGCTGGTGCAAGGGTGCGTGAGGGATGTTGCTCTTTTTCATAATCCCTTATGTACAGACTCAATCAAACCGAGTCTGCAATTTTCATGCTTCCGAGGGATCACTTTGTTACCAGATATTGAGTTCCCTTCCTATGAGGGTCATACAAAACCTTTTGTTTAAAAGTATAACAAAGTATATGGGAAATAGTGTGATTTGGAAAAGAATTCTTAACCAAAAATGTGAATCCGTCGCAAGCAAGTACTGATGCAGAATGAAGTATTAACCTTCTTCCGCACCTCGATGGCAATGATTTTTTGGGATCTGTTTGACCCTAAATTAAAAACTTTTGATTTTTAATCATATGTATTAAGTATTATTGGTCGTTTGAAGATGAAATTTTCAAGTTTCGTGCTCTCATAAAAACGACAGAAAATAATAAAAAGAGGGCCATGACGGCCCTGGGTCGCACACCACCTGAGATACATTGCTAGAAAAGGTGACATTTTATCAATGTTAAAATATAAGTCAGTAATGATTATGATGTCACATTTGGTTTGTCATCTTTTACCCAAACTGCAGAATTCAAAAAGTATTCTAGACATACTAAGAAGC